GTGGGGAGGTGCGTGCGCGCGAGGCCTGGGGCCGGGAGGGGCCGCGCCTCGCACCGCGGACGCTGCAGTTCTCGGCCCCCAGGCAGATGGCCCTCTCGTGCCACGGCGGTCCGGCTCCCCAGGGAGCGCGCACCTCGCCCCTGCGGGCCAAGTATCGGGACCCCGGCGGATCCACGCGGGGAGTGTGGGCTGCAGGGTCGGCGGGGCCAAGCCTGCGGGCGCAGCCCAGACCTGGGGCTCTCTGTTCCGGGGCGTCCGAGATCTCGGGGCCTGCACGCAGCTCCCAGGCCCAGTTGCTCCGACCTTGCGCGTCCCTGGCGCGTCCAGGTCACAAAGACAACGGAAGGGCAGTTCGGGGAATCTTAGCGGGGCTGACCCCACGATTCCAGTCCCCCCAGGCCTTTCCCCCAGTCCAGACCCCGTTGCCCCCTGGGCTTGCTCCCCAGCCACAACCTCACCTTGGGAACTGCTTGGCCCCTAGGGCGCTAAACACATTCTCACAGTTCCGAGAAAGCCACAATCAGACCGGCATAAAAATTCCGCCTCCTCCAGAAAGCCTTCTGTGATTAGTTTTAAAGTTAACTCCATCTCAAAGCTGAGGGCGCCGCCCTCGAGGCCCACGTGACTACCGTTCCTCCCAGGGCTTAGAAAATGCGTAGTTATTGCGCTAGCAGGGTGTATACCCTCGGCCCTCTGTTAACCGAAAGCCCACCTGGGAGAAAAGCCGCTTTGGGCGTTGCCCTGGACCGCCTCAGTGCTGGGTGAGCCGAACTCCATCCTCCCCGCGCCGGTCCAGCAGCTGCGACCTCGAGATGGTCCCGAAGGCCCACAGTACAGGGCCAGCGGGAGGCTCAGGGTGGACAGGCGCTCGCCCACTGTGGGGCAGCGCTGGGGTGCTGGCCTGCCCAGATGGCGCGTGGGCTGTCAGAGGGAGCACCCCAGGAGCCTGCCGCTGGGAGACAGCTGAGACCTGGGATGGGAGGCTCCCTCTGTGAGGCCCCTGAAGAGTCCGGGTACAGTCAGCTTGGCAGTTTTCCAAGTGCCAGGACCACAGAGAGAGCAGGATTTACACTTGGCCCATGCCTGCTGGGCCCAGTCCTCTGCTCTGCTGAAAAGTCTCCCTAACCCCACCTGGCAACCGGGAAGGCCTCGCTGGCCCCTTCACACCCAGTAGTGATGCAGTCAATTACCCCTCTGCAAAGTGGCCCCAAGCAGCAAGTCTCCCCCCTTCTGCTCCTCCCACCAGCGGTCCAGAGCTTGGAAGCTGCCACCGTAGGCCCTGAACAAGTCACTGAGGAGCCACCATCTCAGTGTCCTCCCGGGACCAGGGCGCAGGGCCTGCGGGCCCCTAGAAGGGCAGTGTCCAGGTGTACACCCGGCCCAGGGCTCAGCCCGGAAGAGTGCAGACAGCCCTGCTGGACTGGCAGCCATTTCCTGCAGGCCCGGCAGAAAGCTGGGTGCCGGGAGTAGGAGGGGCCTGTGATGACTCTGGGGAACCCCAAGCCTCAGGAAAGGACAGTGGAGTCAAGGCACTGAGGTGTGCAGAGGACAGAGGAAGCTTCCTCCCAAAGCTGACTCCTGGACAGGCCTCCTGTAGGGACCATCCCTCCTCTCCCACCTTCCTGGCCCCTGGAGGAGGGGTGGGGGCAAAGATGGCTAAGGAGGAGCTGGTTGGCTGCCCACAGGTGTGGGGGAGCACACTGGAGCCCAGGGCAGCCTCCCAGGCTTCCCTGGGGTGACCCCGAGAGCCCTCTCTGCCCCCCTAGAGCAGAACTTGCCTTCACTCCAGGCACTTCTCTTGAGCCTCAGAGCCCAGGCCTGGCCAAGCATTGCACTCATGCCAGCACTGGGCTGAGGACACCCACAGGGCGTGTCCCCACCACACTGACTCCTTGAGTGGGGAAGGGACAGGGCTATGTCCCTGCAGGGCCCTGGGGTATAGGCTCAGTTACTCACTGACCCCATGCAGGGACCTTCTCTGGGCCTGTACCCCCACCTTTAAGACAGTAAGAGTCGGTATACCTGCTGAGTCTGTGCTGCACTAGATTCCATGCTGGGCCCTGGGCACACAGCTCCTTTAACCCTTCACCAGCCCTGTGAAAACCTGAGGTCCAGGCCTGGCGTGACGGTTACCAGTGCTGGATCTCACATGGTCAACTGCATGGTTCGAATCCCAGCCCCAACAGCTGGAAAAAAACATGGGGTGTGTGCCCAAAATCCGGAGAGAATAGAGGGGAAGGGACTGCAGCAGGGCCACCTCTCCACCTTGGGAACACTTTCTCAGCCACATGCCCAGCCCAGAATGCACCGTCAGGCAAATTTAGTATGTCCAAGAGCTCAGGCCCATAGTTGAGATCTCAGAGCTTTGGCCTCACCTGGTGTGATGGCCTCACACCACTGGTTCTGGCCTGCATGCCCTACGGACACTGGAAAGCCCAGCAGGAGTGCGGCACAGTCAGGCCAGATGTCCTAGCCTGGGTCCCCTCCCCTGCAGAGTATGGCTATGGCAGTACCGAGTGTGCGGAGGCGCATACCCCTGGCACGCTGGCTAGTGCACAGTGACCTCTTAGAATGCTACTTTGTCACTAAGTCAGCGGACGTTTACTGAGCTCCCCTCCCAGCCTTTTGGGGAATGTGCGCAGGTCAGCGTGTGTGCCAGGAAGATGGTGACAGTGAGGGACACAACAGAGGCTGGCCGTGCAGGGCCTTACTGATCAAGCTCTATGTGAAAGGCA